ATGAGGGAGGGATATCTATGAATGGGAAGGGTTTTTGTTTGTTTGTTTTTTATGAAAGTCTTTAGAAAAACATGGACCATTGAAAATACCCTCTAAGGAGCACCTAAAGAAAACAGAGAAAGGAAGCCACACTTGGTGTATGAAAAACATATTCAGCAACCATCTCAGGTCCTCTTATTAACAGTGAAGTTCATGGGACCACTGAGCAGGACATAGCTTAATCAGGAATTCTCAGCATTGTTACTATATGGTTTCTAGGGTGTTTAAGGCATTTGGAGAGAGGTTTTTCCTACAATAAAACTTAATGCATATGGGAAGAAGGATGGATATTTTCCAAGATCAGCTACTCCTCCCATGCTATGCAGTTCATTATTTTGTCTTTAAGCTTAATTTCCAAGAGCAACCTCTTAATGTTGGGAACCACCCTGCCTTGTTTCAGGAGCTGTAAACTCCCCCATAGATAAAGCTGAGTGAGCAACCTCTGGGATACGAGCCACAAGGAGACAAATCTTGTCTCTGGCAGCAAACACTGCTTCTGCTTCCTCCCCTGCCCCCAGTGCATGGTCAGATAGTCCATGACAGGTAAGACCCCTCAGAGGAGGGGCAACCCAAGCCAGACACGATCACTTGAGAGGCCATCATGGAAGGACTGGGGGGCTACAACAAAGAGGGAGTGATGGACCCTCACCGCCCGGCTATTCTGACATAGTCCAGTCCCCATGTCCTCTGGGAGAAGTACTTCTTGGATCTAATCCACTTAAGCCTGAAAACCTGTGATGAGGAGGCAGTGCAGCCCCTTGCCAGCTAGAGTGGGATCCAGGGTGATCTGGCATAAGAAAGAATTCCTAACAATCCTGTGAAAGCTGCTTCACTAAGAATGCTTTTACTTAACTGATAAAAGCCCGAGCAGAAAATGAGTTTGTTTTCCCAAAGTCTTGTAGCCCTTTAGCTAATAAACCCTGACTCAGAAGAAGCCCTAATAGTTCTCTGTATGCTATCTACTGTTTACTGCCTGACAATGATTAGTAAGTTGTACCTGAACTTCTGTGCAAAAAAAACCCCAGTAAAAGCCTGTCTAGGCAAGGGTTGGGGCACTTTCCCCTTGAGAGGGTGGCCAGGCTGTTCTGAGGCTCTCCCCCCTTGAGGGAGTAGCTGTGCTGTCCCTTTTCCTCCACAGGACTCAGTAGTCCATGTGAATTTGTCTTGATTTTCCATCCATAACTGCCCTGCCGCGGGCGCCGCAGGCCAGTGCACGCGTCATCTAAAGGCCTTATAAGGGGATTTTCTACCTCCTGCTACAATTCCAGGGAGACAAGGCCAAGCCTCAGGCCCAGGGGTCACTGAATCCATGGGCATAGGCTTTCCAAGACTTTATATGTTCTATCTGTGTATGTATTCGATTGTTCTTTGCTCCTGTCTGGATCAAAATTGAACTATTCACACTTCAAGTTACATTAAATCGCACTTTTTTCAGAAAAATCTTTTCTGTTCAGCCACACTCCATGTATTTCTTGCCCTTTAAACTTGTCCAGTGAAACTCGTCTTCCAGTTAAGTTACCACAGAATACACACTGTCCTGGTTCCCCACCCTCCTCCCTGGCCATCTTCCTTTGCTGGCTTCTCCTCTGTGGACGGCTAAATGTTGGGCTTGTCCACACTGGTCCAGGGGCCTCCTCCCTTCTCTATTTCTCCCCCTGGGTCCTCATATACATTTCCAACAGCTTCATCTAGCATAATGTATGACTTTGAAATAACTATCCATGGCCCACATCTCTCCTGGGAGCTACAGTAGATTATACCCAACAGCCTACATGGCATGTCCCCTCAGACATCTCATGCACCTGTGGGCGGCAGCCTCTGCAGTAGCCCCGAACAACTCCACCCCTCCTGGGACTCACACCCTCCCAGGGCGCACCAGGGTGGTCTGTGTGACCCAAACCCACAGAACCGACTGGATGCCTCCTCTGGAGATGAGGCTCTAAACAAAAGGGTGGCTTCTACCTTGGCTTCTCTTGCTTGGGGGAAGCAGTCCTATGGAGAGGTCCATATAGCAAGGAACTGAAGTCTCTGGCCAACAGCCAGCTGGTCTGTCAATAGCCACACCAAAAGGCCAAAAGCAGAGCTTACAACCCCAGTCAAGCCTTGAGATAACTGCAGCTCTGGCCGACAGCTAGACTGTCACCTCATGGGAGACACTGAGCCAGAAGCATCCAACCACACTGCACCCAAATTTCAGACCTACAGAAACTGTGAGATAATACACGTTTGTTGTTTTAATCTGCTAAATTGCGGGGTCAATTGTTTTAATGAAATAATAGGTAGCTAATCTGCACACCACAACGTAATACGTACTAAGTAGAACTTTCCATCTCCTTCCCCAATTCCTAGCCTGCCTCTTCTTTATTGGTATCAACATCTACCCAATTTCAGAATCACCCTTGTTTTCTCCTTTTCTTTCACCAGCACATCCAATTCATCAGCCAGTTCTATGGAATCCAACCCCAAACCATTGATAAAATCCATTCACACAAAAAAATGTCTGAAGAGCCCACATCGGATGCTGCAGAAACAAAAGAACACAAAGCATGAAACCCTGCCCCTGTGTAGCTGTCATTCTCATGGGAGGGAGTAAATAATAACCTGCAAACAAAATACATATTGTGTCCTATGGGAATAAGTAGTGTGGACAGGAAAGCTACAGTGAATAAAAGGATGGGGAATGCCAGGGTGTGCGAGGAGTGTTAGAATGTTAGTTTAAGTAGGGTTGCCAGGAAGGCCCCACTGATAAAGTGACACTTAAAAACTCCACATTCTGTCACCACTGCCATTGCCCTAGCTGAGCCACCTTCACCTTTTGTTTGGGCTTCATCACAGCCATCTTCATGTCACTGCCCTGCCTACCACCCTCCAGTGGTTTCCCAATGCTATTAGATGACAATCTAGGATCTTTACCACCACCCCACCTCCCCGCCACTTCTGCAACTAGTCCTGCATGACATGGTCCTACCCTGTGTCTCCAACTTCATCTGGAACAAGTCACACAAGCTCTACCCACAAAGACCTTCTGGCAATGTCTATAACATGCCCCCTTCTTTATCACCTCCTTTGCCCTTGCAGGTCCCAGTGCAGAAAGAAACATCACTAGATCCATCTCATCCTTCTAAATCAGAAGGTCCTGGTGAGGTCTCCTTCTTAACACTCTAACCAGTGTGCCCACCCCCCTACCTCATTCTTGTTTATCACACCTTTTGTTTGCAATTTGCACCGATTTGTTAATTAACTTGTTTGTTGTTTCCTGGGCCCCTCTGCCTCCAACCAGAATATTAACCCTCATTTGCCCCATTCTCTATTGGAGGCCCAATGCTACCAGGTACAGGATGCGCGATCACTGAATGGACCGACAGAACCCCGTGTTCTGACCACTTTGTAATTTCAGCAGCATCATCAATTGGTAAACACAGAATCTTATTTTAATGAGTCTGTAGCTTTTTAGATCTAGGTGATATCTAGACATCCGTTACTTATCGAAGGCACTTCCTAAGTACCTTCGTGTACTTAGGAAAGATAAGTAATTTGTACAAAGTCAGGATCTGGAACAAGAACTTGGCAAGGTTAGGACACGGGTCCAGAGTCCTTTTAACAAACAACCTTACTGCTCTGCCTGCTTGTGAAAAAACTAAGTACAGGTGGCTAAAGGGTAAGAGCACAGGTTTTAGATTAGAGAGACATAGACTTTTCTTCTCTACACTTTCCAGCAGTGTGGCCACATTTGTCTGTGCCTTACCTTCCCTCCTAATGTGAGAGTATCTCATGGGGCTGTGAGAAGGATTAAATTAGAGCGCACGGAGTTCACAGAGAACCCTGGTGATTATAACTGTCAAAGAAGAAAAAAGAAAACAAACAAACACAGGCCTGGATATCCCTATTACTATTCTAAGGTCAAGGGAGGACGGTAAGAGGTATTTTGCTATTTTATTCCAAAGATCTACATTACACATGTCTTAGTAAATTGTATAAGAATAAAGCAACCTCAAACCTCCACAAAAACTAACATAATTTCATAAAGTAGCATGTTGTGAATTTTGTGTTCAAATTATCTTTTGTATAATTAAGTTGCTGCCTTGCTATGGGCAGTCGGCAAGTTGTCTGACCTTTGCAGCGTGCAGGGGGGTTTCCTTTGGAAGGGGGCTGGTTGTTTCTGGAATTACATCAGGCCCATGGGATAACTGCTGTGCCCTGCTCCTGGCGATGTAACATAAAAATGTAACAGGACAAGTGGGTGCCATAAGTCTTCCGGCTCTTTTCTTACTGACGTTCCTTCTGTATGAGAATGAATGCCATTATCCTTTAGGATAGAAGTAAACACTTGTCAGTTTCCTCCCCTGTAGCATGACATAAGGTCAAATGGACTCGTGTTTGTACACAAGGCAGACATTTTTATCTGTAAACATGCTCAGAGGTGTCACTGCACCTGAGGTGTCCTCACAAGTATCTCAACAAAGTGTACCCAAGTGTGTTTGGAATACTTTATGATAGAAGAACCACGATACTGATAAAACACAGGGCGATGCTGAGGCCTGAGGTTTAGAGGTATGATTTCGAAGCTTGTTAAAGAAGGAGAATGGAAGAAGAACCCTTTGCCCCAGCACAGCTGCCCTGCCCGAGAGCGACCAGAAGCATTTCTGGGGAGCAACATGATTACACACCATGCAGGGTCCTTGGGCCTGACTCTGCACCACTTGGCCCCGGGTTTCAGGCCAGGCTTCGCGAGCAAACCATAGATTTAGAGGCAAACAGTCACCTCCAAGCCAAGACCAGCCTCCTAAGCCTCCCTCAGCTTCACAACCCCTGGACTTGGGCTTTGCAGCTTCCTGAGAGCTCTGGGGCAAAGGCAGCAGCACGCCCAGGCCCGGCCTGCTTTAAGTTAAGAGTCCTTCTGCAGAGCTGGGCAGCGACCCCCGCCGCTGGGACTCCAGGCATGGGACACCCCCTCTTCCTACCAGGCCCGCAGCTCCTGCACCGGCTCTGGCTCCTGGAGCCTTCCCTCCTCGCCACAAGCACGACCTTCTCCACCGATACACTCTGAAGGGCCAACTTCCTGGACCGTGACCCTCTCCCTACTCCCTCCCACCTCCCTGTCTTTTCTAGTCTCCCCGCCCACGGGGCGCCCTGCAGTAAGCCTGGCCACGCCCTCCAGCCCTAGCCCACGCCCTGCGGCCCCAGCCACACCCTAATCTGACCCTAGGCCACGCCCAGGGAGCTGTGGGTGTGTCCTAATCTAAAAGGGAACTGCTAGTTTGTAGCTGCAGACTCCTCTAAATGGCTGCACTGGGAAGCCACTTCCAAATGCATGAGTCTGTCGCAGATAGTCCTGAAATATCCTGGAAGGAGATGTTTTTCATATCTGTCTAGTTCTGCTGAATCGAATCAGGATAGATCTCTAAGGGGAAAAGAAGCAGCTATATTTCCTCCAGATCCCAATTCTCTGTAGAGGAGCTTGGAACGTGGTGGAGATTTTAGTAGTTACAAAAACCCTTCGAATTTTCTCCAAGGATCACAAGTTAGAGGGGCTGCCCTGGCAATTTGATGTCAGGAAGGAATATGGATCACCATTCTGAATATAGACAGCTTCGGGCTTATCCTGCCATTGTCTCTTGTCTCTGGGCCTGAGGTGTCTCAGACTGTCCGGAGTCTGTAGCAGAGCACTTGAACTGGCCCCAGCACTTCATGCAGCTGAAGTAGGTTTAGTGAACATGGGTGAGTCTGTCTACAAAACATAGTACTAGGAGCATTTACCACACAATGTGGGGTAGTAGTTTTAAGTGTTACAGTATATTCAATTAATTTTATCCTGAATCCTGAGAAACAAGTGGATAAGTACGAACATGGGAAGAACCTTCTGTTGTCATTTGAAAGGTTGGTAGACTGATAATGATGATGATGATGATAATAATAAAAAAACAAATGGTGTTTCATTAGGCCAACTCTGCCAGGCTTTGTAAAAGGTACTTTGAATATGGTATCTTGCTTAATCTTTAGAACAACCTACATGTCACAGGATCTCTGTTTCCTCCAATTACAGACAAGAAAACAGTCTCAGAGAGAGACCAGCCTGGGCAAGGCCAGGGCTGGAGCCCCAGCCAATTGCTGTCACTACACCACACTTTTCTTAGTAGAACGGGCACTTCAATAGCAGGCTGGGAAATACATTAATATATTTAAGTCAGGAAAGGACATAAAAGAATATAAATGTTTTGTGGGGTTTTTTAATTTGGTTTTTTAAGGAAAGTAAAAACATGAGAAGTTATGGAGAAGTTGGCTGGTAATGGCTAGGCAGGGAGAAAATATTGAGGGAGAGCAATCATCCTAAAAGGATGGTGGCTGCTTAAATCCCAGGGACAGGGAAAGGGATAAAATAGGGCCCAGAGGTGGGAGAGACAAGAAAAAATGTAGAGGTTAAGAACTCCAGAGGGATGAGCATTGAGGAGTTGAGTATTACTAGGAACGACTGAGGCTCATACTGAGATTGTGTAATGAATAGATGGATTGAGGAAGCCTTCTAGAGTGATTTCAGTGCTGGCTACCACTCGGATCACATGCACCGCAGCCATGAAGCCAGACGAATGTGTGCCTGACAATGGTTGTTAAGAGAGGCCTAAAAGTCCATTATTTATAATGTGATGTATTTTACTAGTCCTTGCTGCCAGCCATGAAATTATACACAAGATTCGTGCTAAAAAATGACTTCAGTTTTTTTTTTAAATGAAAGTTACTAAATTCTACACTGCCCGAATCACACCCATTGTGCAAGATTTGTGATGGATTTCTCATTCAGGCTCTTATTTCGGTAGCTTTTACTCTTTAAAAACATAGTGCTAAAGAGGAACTAGTCTAGATTTCATTTCTCTTGGACAGAATTAGCTTCAAAAAAACATCAAATTAATATGCAGGAGTTTTATTTTAGGAACTATTGTGAACATGTGTTTTCAAACAAGTGGAGAGCAATTTATGCAAATCTAATGTACAACAGTGAAAAATTGCGTAGCGTATAGCATTCGAGTATATACTACAATTTCATTTCATGTCATAAGTGATTTAAACATTGCTGTTAGCTAACTATCAACTGCTATCCTATTTAAAAATAATTTTAAATAATATTCTGCCATGGCCCAAGTGGCTCAGAAGGTTGGGCATTGTCCCACATACCGAAGGGTCACAGGTTTGATTCCTGGTCAGGGCACATGCCTAGATTTCTCCCTCCCTTCCTCTCTTTCTCTAAAAACAATAAAAATTAAAATAAATAAACATCAATATTGTGCAGTACTGGCCCCCAGTCTACTCACCCTGAGGATGGTAGACACGAACAGGTAAAGGTGTTCCTTCATGATGTTCTGCTGTCAGAAATGATAATCTGGCCTCAAGCCTTGTGCCCAACTTCATTTTTCAGCCTTTCTCCCTGGAAAAGCTTGACTTGGAGAGGTTTTTGAACCCTAAAATATCAATGTCTGATGAAATAACCAAGTTAGAAATCACGCTATTGAGGAACCAAAGGTTTCCAAATGAATCTCTCAGTTAAGGGTTCAGTTCCAACACACTCTCATTTCCACAGCACCTGCTTTTTATTTTCATCTTGTCTTTGAATCCTGACAGTACCTGGACTCAGACACACTAAATTGGCAGAGAGAAGGAAATCAAAACCAAACTTCCAAAACCCCTCACCGTCTGGGTTACACTTTGGAAAAGCATCAGGTTCTCATCACCTAGTTAGTTGTTTTAAATGTCTGCACAAAAAGTCTGTACAAAAAACCCGGAGAGCGCAAAACATAAAGTAATCCAGATAATTTGTCACATAAACAGCAGGAAAAAAAGCATGATGATGCTATCGCTTCACTGTCAGGTTTTAATTGTTCATTGGGAGTTAAAATTTCCAAGGCTATAGACAGCTTCCTGCTTTAACTCTCAGTGGGGTGTGATAAACCATTCCCATCATTTCTAGGCAATTGATTAGATACCAATGTCACAAGAGGTCCGGCCTGGAGCTTTCAACACACTTTTTTTTTCTTTCTATTAAATTTCTATTTTTTTATACCACCCAGAGAATACTAGGACCTACTCAATATATTTTATTACTTCACTAAGAGGCAAAGGAAAAATGAAATTAAACTATTGTAGTTCTTAAAGAGCAATATTGAAACACATAATCCCCCAATTCAAGGAATCCTATAGCGGGGGTTACACTGTTACAGGTGAGTCACTACAAGCTTTTGTAGAAGATGGTTACAAGCTTATCTTTGAGACTGTTCTGACTCTACAGCTGCTGTGGAAAACAATATGGCAGTTCCTGAAAAACTAAACACAGAATTACCGAATGAACCAGCAACACTGCTTCTGAGTATATGTATCCAATAGAAGTGAAAGCAGGGACTCAGATAGATATGTGTGCACTCTTGTTCACAGAAGCATTATTAACAACAGCCAAAAAGTGGAAACAGCCCAAGTGTCCACTGATGGACGAGTAGGTAAATAAATGTAGTAGGTCCATGCAATGGAAAATCAGTTAGCCCATTAAAAAGGACTGAGATTCTGATAATGCTACAATTTAAATAAACCTTAAAGACATTATGCTAAGTGAAATAAGCTGGACACATGAGGACAAATATTATATTTTTTCACTTAGGTGAGGTGCCTAGATTAGTCCAATTCACGGATACAGAAAACAGACTAGTGGTTACCGGGGGCTGGAGGCAGGGGATGGGGAGTTAGTGCTTCGTGGGCACTGAGTTTTAATCTGGGAAGATGAAAACATTGTGAAGGTGGATGGTGATGACACTCACCCAACAACCTGAGTGTCCTTAGTGCCACCGAACCGTACACTTAAAAATGGATAAAATGGTAAATTTTAGGTTATGTATATTTTATCAGAATAAAAATACTTTGACTTCAGATAGCTGTTTGTAAATAGCTTGTAAAATTATTTCTCTCACTAGATTTGCTAGTGTAAATAATAAGTCATCATTTTAAACTGTTATTAATTTTTAAAACTGAAATTGTATCAGTATTCATTTTAAAGACTTTTAAATTAAATTGCCTTTTTTTTCATGACCAAGCAATTTCCTTCGGCACTGTGACAGAATCAAAGGTGTGTGGTGGCTAGATGCTCACTAAGCCCTTTTCTCCTCCTCCTGGGCACATAGCCGCACTGCAGTCCCAGCCTCCCTGGCAGTTAGGTGGGGTCCGCAAGTGCTAGCCAATGGCCTGTGGTAGAAATGACATGTACCTTCCAGAACTGGCCCATTAAAAACCTGCCCCCCCATCCACCATCTTCACTGTCTCTCCATTCAAGGGCGTGATGGAGAAAATCCCTAGAACCTAGAGAATAGAGTCACAGGAGAGAAGGGGGCTGTACCTGAATGGCCACATAGAACACAGCCCTCCTACCAATCCTGACTAGGAGAAAATGGGAGTGAAATTTTTACTTTTATCACCCTAAACCACTGAGACGTGGGGATTATTTGTTCTAGCAGATAGCTTACCCTGACTGATAGAGAGTACTGTCCTGGTGAGAAAATCAGGGGGCTCGATATGCAGATTGAAAACCACCCTCCCCTTCCAGTCATTGACAACGACATTAAAGGGCTCCCCCCGCCACATGGCTTCCAGATCCTTGAGAGAACTATTGACGTGTTAGCGGCAACTATTAGCACATAATAATGGGATTATTGATCTCTGATAAAAACCAGTGTTGAGAGTGAAGTTAAAAAGAATAAAATTAAATCCCAAAAAGTCAGCAGGGAAGTTATTCACTGACTGTAAGTCTAGGTCTGTGCGTCTGAAGAATACCGAAGTGTAGTTTTGTCCGTGTTGAAAAACAAAATGGTGTGGACTCGAAGCAAACATTAAAAGGATGCCTTGAATTTAAAATTCAAGTAACTTAATTATTTTTTCTGTAAGTAATATGGATAATTTATCTGTTTTCATTTCAGGATCTTTTAAAATTGTGTGTGTGAAGGGGACAGGTTTGCTGTGGCATTAGTTTGAATTCCTATTCATGAACCTTGTTTAAAATGTTTTTTAAAGTCCTTGTAACAGTGGAAAGTTGAAAC